AAACGCGGGTCTTGCCGGTGTCGGAGAGTCCAGATTTTTTTGTCGAGTGACTCCTTAGCTAGAACGGAGAATGGACAGTTGGTTCCACGACTTGTCGTTTTGCGTTGTCGCTCTGCGGTCTCACTTGGTGGTCGGCAAGATCGATCGCACGCGTATGTGACAGTCCGTTTCCCGCTCCTCCCCGTTGTTGACTTTCCAGTTGTGAAGGCATACCCCCTCGTCACAGCCCACGCATTAATGGAGCTGAAGAGTGCATCTCGTGATAGGTAATCTGCCTCTGGAGGTAGACAGTCACTGGGAAATGACGCAGCAAACGCCGAACTAGGAAGTTGGCTCATGGCTCTACAAATGAGTGGAAGAGTGAAGACATGTTTAGTGGCAGCCAGTAAGGTCAGTACAAATTTTTCGTAGGCGGGGTCCCGCGAAATTCTAAAGTCGCGGGTCCCCGCGAACCTAGGCGCTGCCGCAATCGACAACAGCTAAGGGGGGCGCGAGATATGGGAGATACATAATATAACTACACCATTCGTAATATTGACTTACGTGCAGAGGAAGCTGTTCAATACCTCAGAAACAATCCAAAGGCCAAGCAGAGGGCCGTGGCCAAGACATTTAAGATCAGGCGCGATCGTCTTCGTCGCCGTCTTTCAGGGGTACCACCTAAAACGGCTGCCATGCAAGCAATGCATGGCCGCAAGTCCTCAGTCCACTGGTGTAAAAAGGTCGAGTTCGAAAATACGGGAAGCTGGAGACGCTCAACATTTGTCCTGCCTTTCCGTGATACTCCAATATTCGCTTTTCATCCCACCGCTTCGGCCTCTCACAAGACCTTTCACTCCTGCACATAGCCTCTCGATTTACTTTCATCTCACAACATAACTAGCAGAATGGTACTTCATAACTCTCTTGTTCGAAATACCAGGCCCATTTCGATGCTTTTACGGGTCAGGAGTGCCCCTGGCAATGCCACAACTACATCAGAGCCTGTTGACATGGATAGATTTATCAGCTACGGACCTAAGGTTCGGGGGACTAGTGGCCCAAATGTCTTTTCCTTTTGCGGTAGAGCACATGACTACTGGCTTAGATTCCTGGTATTAGATGCCCAACTTGCGCTCTTGGCGGAAAGGAAGTGTGAATTATTCCCGGTCGGCGTTGCGGATATTGTGGCACGCCTGTGATAGTCATTGACTGAGTGAGTACACCGTCGAATTTACGATCCCCAACCAGCGCACTTGCCTGTCAAAGTACATGCCACACAGTCTCTACCAAGCTTCTAGAATGACAACACTGCTGGTGCAAGATGCCGAAATGTCTCTTGAGACTAAGGAACGTCCCAAAGGCGGGTCAACGGAATAGCCAGCATCGCATAGGCGTATATTATGTCGGGTTTTATGTCTGTCATGCGCCGTGGCAGGAGTTGAGTAGTGAAGGTGTGGAAGTCCAGCTCCTCAACGACAATGCCGGTCCCACCGATGTTTGACGCCGTATCGACTTGGCGGCGAACAGGACCCTGGCCTCCAGCTGGTAGCCACCAGGCGACCCAGGCCATCCTATCTTGGTATGCCTGCTACTCGAGAGCCTGCCACTGCAATTGAACCCTTCTCAGCCGGTGGCTCACATACCCCTGCATTCTTGATTCTTACGGGAATGGATGCCTAGCTCCGAACAGTATACACAGGAGCGCACCTTTGCGATGCGCGAGGAACTCAAATCATACTACTTTTCCAAGTCGCAGGAACATGATCATCGTGGTGAAGAGCTCACAGAGGAAGGGAAACTCGAGGGATACCAGGCTCTATGCCGTGAGGTCCGTATACCTCCAAGCCACTCCATGTCAGAATGCAAGAAGCATTTGAAGAACCCGCTTGTCAACATCGTGGACCTGATCGACGCGCGACGGAGGTCCAAGGAGGTCAAGGTGTGGCATGATTTTGAAGCCTTCCGCGACTACACCCTGAAGGACGAACATAGGATCGACATGGGCGAGGCGAAGAAAGACGGAGGATACCTGGCCTCTCTGTTGCAGTACCTTGGACACCGGTGACGGTGATCTTGGGTGGGGTGGGGGGAAAGGAAGCCAAGTCTTGTGAAACAGGCTCGTCCCGTCCAGTTTAAAACAATAACCACCTGCACCGATTCAGCCAGCTGGCCCACGATGGTTTCCAGTTCCCGAGGATCCTCGCCTGTCGACTGCCGATGAAAGTGCGGGCGGCTCAGGCCTTTAAAGCTAATCAGAGTCTCCAATGTTCAGAACCAGACGGCAGATGTTTTATATCTTGATAGATGTCGTTCGCGAAGTCTCCCAAATAACGCCCAACTACTTCGAAAGTATTGTTCTTTCTTGGAAGGAGATATCTCGAGCTTCGGGATATAATTCATGGGTGCGACTCATTATGCACCGTGAACGAAAGAGGGCACCGGTCGTCTGCTATTCAGGGAAATCAGCATTTGTTCAAGCCTCACAAGACATCGGCTACCGAAGACAGATCAAACAATCCCAAACTGAAACGTACGGATCAGTAATTGTCGCGCCGACCACCCTTACCTCCAATACCCTGCGCTCCAAAGATAAGGCATAAAAGGTCAGACAGTGCTGCGCCTACATCAAATTTTGAGCTGCGTAGATGATGACTATAAACCCACTCGATGTGGAACAAATGGGGACGGGCTCTTGAACGTAGCCTCACTGGAGTACGCGGCGGCCTAGATCGTCGCCAACAAGGTGTCGACCCGCTTTTCCAACACCCTCGACGCCTTCTGCGCCGGCGACGCTTTCGCCTCCACGCTCAACCATAGCCGCTATTGTGTGGCTCGACACTGGCCCCAAATTTCTGTAAATCCCGAATGCAAGCCGAAGGGCAAGTGGGACTTGTATCCTGTGCCTCAGTACATCCATGTGCCCACGCTGAAGTGTTCCATACTGCTCGGATATCAGGGGCCAGCCCTTCGGCGCCAAACATGGCCGCTCGGCATTGGGACTGGATCTGTTGACCGTGTAGAGTCAACGGCCTGGTACAGGGGTGGGTTCAGTCGAGTAGTTTTAGAATCTACCGTACACGTTGTACATCCACGGAAAACACAGTCTGTAAATGACAGCGATAATTATGTTGGCCCGCACCAAAACAAACATAGTTTACGAGCCAGGAAGCTCTGGAAGGTACATGAGGTGAATCTCCAAGGTTCGCTAACCTGAGGCCAGGAGAAGTCAGGGGAGTCGCGTCATTTAACTATCGACGCGTGTGGAACCGCGACACGAAAAACCACCCTACAACACCCGTGGAGGTCCTAACTGAAGAAGCTCCACCACCTTGGCTTCAACCACAATTTCCATCGCGGACATGACAACTGCTCGTTTCCGATTCTACGAACCAAATCCTGCGCCCGGCGCGAAACTCTACAACTTCAATCCTACCCACCGCATGTGCGAGATCTGACGTCATACACCTCTCAGCATGGACGGCGCGCCGGGGGCGATTGTTGCTGTCGATTTTGGGAGCACCCACGCTGCTCCCTCCGTGTTCGGTGCTGATGGACCTGAGGAAGTAGAAGTGGGCAAGTCCCAAAATGCATACGGGGACGAAGGCCCAATGTTTCTGTATCCCACGGCTTTCATATTTCCCGCAGAGCCACCCGGGCAGATCCCAAAGGAAATTCCCAACAAAGGCACGAGCATCGACCTTGCCGGGTTTCATCCTCCCCCTGACAAAGAAGAGGTATATGGGATCAAGCAAGCACTGGACGTGAGCTTATGCGAGCCTGGCTCGCAAGGAGCACAGATGCGAGCCCTCTGTGCGAATCATGGCCCAGTGGAGGACGTCCTTGACGATAATCTCACCAAGATTTTCGCGTTTCTTTGGAAACGGATCGAGGAGCATAGGCAGAAGAAGGGCTACGGGCCCCCAGAACAAGCGTGGATTACGGTGCCCGCAGCATACACCAGAGGCCGGAAGGGAAATCTCATGCAAGAGCGACTTGCGCGATGCGCGATATCCGGCGGTTTCCCATCCGCGATTGGTTGTAAATCTGAGATGGAGGCAGTCTTCCATTATCTGAACCATTTGAGGCGGAAAGCGGAGAAGGACAAAGAGCCCGAGGACTCCAACATCGAGAAAGTTCGTGACAGACCTGCGCTTCGAGAAAACAAAGACAGAACTAACTTCTCAATAGGAAGTTCTTGTCAACTGTGGGGGAGGAATCGTGGTATGGCTAAAGATGTACATGAATGGCGACGAGTTCGTACTGATTGCGATATAGGATGTATCCGCCGTTGAACGGTTGGGTCGGGCCACGCAGCTGCTCTGCAACTCTGACAGTCGTCCTGGCGGTATATCCGACGTATTCGCCCAATTGCAAGCAAAATGCAAAGAGTTGCGTTTACCGCCGGGCTCCTTCCGACTCCTAGAGCGACATATCCATCGTATGACAGAAGAATGTCAGGACATCGAGATAGGGGGGCATCTGTTCGCGGGTAAGAGCTTGAGAGAGATGATCATCGACGCATATACGGAAGGGTTTGCACTGGCGGAAAGCGTTATTCGGAAAATTCCCCATGTCACCAAGGTTTACATTTTCGGGAGACCCCCGGCCTCAAACGAACTCATCCGAGATGTGTGCATAAAGCGCTTTTGTGGTCTGCGAGACAAGATGAGGGACGAGGGCCGCCAGGCCAACTTTGAGGTTGAAATTCTGTCATCCAACATTGCTCGGTATGCTGCTCTGCGTCGCCAGGGAAAGGAAAGGACACTGTGCGCTAATCTGAGCTACAGCAAAGCCGTGCACCTTGGCGCGTGTATACCATTCTTAGACGACGCCGTCGCAAGGTTTCGCGAAGTGTGCTTCGGGTACATAATATCCGCAAAAGAGCGCCGAAGACGAAAATGGGTTGAGACAAGGCGATTCCAGCAGGTCAAGGCACCCGATTCTGACGAGCTGGAAACATATTGGGAAGCCTTGCAGGCCGACGATGAAAACCCAGGCGCGCTCACGATTAAGCCGCACACGATACGCACCGAGCACTGGAAACCGCTGGCCAACACGAGGTCTGGAGAAACGCACCGTCCCGTTGCTCCAACGACCTATGCCATATCTATGGAAACTATAAAAGTTGATTTGAAGGGACAAGCGGAACCTAATCAATGGGTTTGGGTGAGATTCAAACGCACGCACCCGGACTTGCATCCGACATTGTACACGCTGCAAGTGGACTGCCGTAAGAGGTCCTGGGACACTGCGGATCCTGGCGAAGGGGAATGTTTAGAGGAAGAGTACGAGCTTCGCTGTGACTCTGAGAGATGTTACTTCGTCCCTGTTAAAGATCGCGAGGAAGAAGACGGCAGAGAAGACGAGGAAGCGGTCGGTTCGTGGATGCCCGAGCGAAGAAGGCGACCTGCGGGCCGGAAGCGCCGTGCTGGTCCTGTACCACAGCGGCCTCACAAAGTGCGAAAGATCGGGCCTCAGAAGTCTGTCGCCCGGCGAAGCACTCACCAACGGAAACAGGATCCATACGACGGGCCCTCATCAGACGAGGAGAGGGAAATGCAAGCGGGAAGACAAAAATCTAACGCACATGCGCCGGACGAGAACAACGGCTTGCTTGCCGTAGGTGGAAACACGCTTCTGGGGGAAGATCAGATGGTGAGCATGCGGCAGAGCTCAAGGCAATCAATATCTGGCTCACCGAACCGTCGCAAACCATCTCAAAACGGCTCTGAAGGTGATGGGAATTCCAGCCAACAGAACACAGGTCGAAGTGGGATGGCTGCATCCCCATCGGACAAACAGCAGCAAGCTGGCAACTATACGAGCACTCCCAATTCTGTAACCTCGACGTCTGCCGGGCCTCCTGGATTGCGTTCACAGCCCGGGGCTTCGCCAGCCCCGATTCCAAAAACCAGTCTCCTACGAGTCGGTCAAACGTCACCGGAACTGCGGTCTACGGATGCTGGAACAAACTCTCCAACTCGCCAGCCTCCACCGCGGGTTAACAGGCATGAACTTGATATTGGGCTACTCCAAAGCGTTTCAAGACCGGTCAGACGGAGCCGCCAAGATACTCAAGGCGATCAAAATGCAATTCGCACCGCCGATGACGCCGCGGCCGAGCAGCAACTGATCGAAGAAGATAACCAACTTAGTCCGACCATAGGAGTGGTTCGGCACCAGACAGGGACAGCACCACTGGTACGTGCGCGTCAGCGTTTGCCTGATGCACCCAGAAAAGGGCTTGCCTCGCATGCTGAGGTAGCTACCGAAGGTAACAAAGGTGGGCCTAGCCAACAGAGGATGGTCATGCCTAGTCCAGGGGCCCAAGATCGGTTCTCTTGGGCATATCGGAGCAGGCCGAGGGCCGGATCAGTTCCGCTTACTATGTCCAATACATCATATACTGCTATGAGCATTCAGAGTTTACTGGAAGCTCCGCAAAAAGATTCATCAGCGTAACTGGTTACCTCGTTTCGGTACTATTCGAGACGACGCCAATCCCACAAAGAGTCAATATAGAGAATTAAGGAGCTCAAGGAAGCCCAAAATGGTCTTTGCGAAGACAATGTCAACATTTGGCGGCTATTCCTATGCTTGCGGTATAAAAGACGGCGGTTGAGTTTGGGGTGCCGTCACCATCCACTGCGAGACCCCGGACTGTCTTCTCAGAATGGCAACTATTATGGCGTATTTCGCTAGATAGTACGAGATACCGGGGATTTCGCATCGAACACTGCCACTTCGTTGGGAGTGTCTGAATCGATCTGTTACTACTACCTTGAAAGGTTTTGCTGCCTCCTAGAAAGTGGGTGCTACTTGAGCTTCAGGTCCAAACCTGGCTGTTTGTTAAAAACCCGACTCCGCCGCCATTCTAGTACAATCGCCTGCTGAACTAACATGTCAGCTGTAGTAGTTTTGGGTACTACATCGGTAATTACTATATTTCTATATTTGCTGTGCTTACTTCGCGAGACTGGCGAGTTAGTTTAGTCATACGCGACGCAGGAACGCAGAGTAATTGTCGGTCGCTTTCGAAGGATGGGCTGTCGATCATTATGGACTTCACCAGATAATCGCAATAGTCAGCGCTCGTTAGGTCTGGATGTTTCTGTAGAAAAGGAAACTTCGAGAGCTCATTTTCACGATCATCCGGGAGCAGCTCAGGGTATTGAGGCTCTACGTCCTCGAACGAGCGTCGCACCAACCTGGGTGGTTATGGACAGAATGACGTTCATTGCTTCGCTTCCAGAATTATTATCATTGCAACAAAGTAGTGCCTTTGTCCACTCTCCAGTAGCAACAAGAGTAAGCTGCGTTCCGACTGGCCGGGAAGGCCCTGGACAACGGCACATGCCTTCGCCTTGCGACACCAAGGATGCGGCTGTAAAGCTCCATTTCTCCCGATGGTTCCAGCACTCTTTGATGGACAATAACTTGTCGGGATGTTTTGGAAATGCTTGCTTAGCATTCGATCCGGCATCCTTGCCGTAAACTTCTGAGACTTTCTGAGGAGTGAGTTCAGAGGTGACTACGAGGACCGGCCCCTGCCTCCAGCGCTGTGGCTAAAAACCAGCTGTCTATCATCGGCGCGTTGACTCCATACACCTGGTTCTATCCCTAACAACCCGTTGTTCGACCTTTCCCTCGTCAAGCCGTCTTGGCTGTTCACATGCGCCTTGCTTGCACTCCACACAATAGCCGTTTTGCTGGTCGCATCCAACTTGTATGGGTGCCTGCAGGAGTGCATTCAGTTCCATAAGAACTCGACGGCTCGGAGTTCAAGACGAGCAGAGGAAGTTTCGTGTTCTCGAGTGGTTACGTGTAGTACAGAATGCCTTGTAAGTCGAGACGAGCAGTGCAAAATGAGACCTGGCGATTGTAAGAATTGTCTTTCCATTGCGGCAATGACACAGTTTTGGGCAGAATTGGTTGACCAAACTCTAGGCCGGCCCCTGCTGGAGAAATGAAATATGACTTCCTGCGACAAACATTGCCGAAGTTCGGCAGAGGAACAGCGGCAGGATCAGCAAATAGAACTTGCTATAGCTCCGTACCATCAGCATCCACCCAAACAAACCTGCTCCATCGATCCGCAGCATTGCTCTGGAACACAGGATACTGTTCCGTGCAAGGACTTTGGAGGGTTATGGAAGTGAATGCTTGCAATTGATCATACATCGAAGTCGCAAACTCCTTGTTCACTTCTGTTGGCGGGGGCTGCTACGTCCCTCAATACATTCAGTAAGAGGTCATGAACAAGTGTTATCGGGCCGCTTGAAGTAAGCTACCGCGTCGCTATTGTCTTCCAGAAGGTCATGTGAGCCTCGGCGAGAACAGAACGGGCTGGGATGGAAGCTGAAGCGTGTCGGTGGGGGGCCGAACACTAGCGCCACACTAAACTAGGGCTATTTCGGTGGGTGATAGCGGTTAGTGACTCATTGGTGGAAAGACTTAGAATTCATATGATTCGGAGCAGTGCAACTTGCTCACGGAGGGACCAGCAAATACAGTTATTGGGTAGATGTCAGTGATCCATGACTGGTATGTTGTGAGCCAATGAGTCCGCGTGACGAGACCGCCTCACTTTTTCACGCAAATCTTTTCAACCTCGTCAGATCCCACCATTCAAACTTTCCCTCATTGGAATCAATCATCACGTTGTGATTCACACAGCCCAACAACGACAAAATATTCGAGCGACCTCATCACTATGGAGATCAAGCTCGTCACCCCTTCTCACGCTAAATATTATTACGAAACTGCACTGCACAATGTTCGGGTCGAACCAACAGTTCTGCAACAAACAGGTTCCCCACGGCACTATCGGTCTATTCAGACTCGTGATATGGACGGGCAGCCCGACTGAGGCGCAAGCAGATTCTTGTAAGGACTTTGTCCAGAAGATTTGGGGAACAACGAAGCTTCTTGAGTGGCTCGTGGGAGTAGTTGGATATTGTTACAAAGGTAAGCAGACGTGAATGGTCTTTCTCAAGTTCACTCCAACCCTCGGATCCTGACCTCTGTAGACTGTGCCCTTTACGAAACAACGCGCGTTGCAATCGAGCAATCTGAACCCCCTCAAGGCAATGAGGATGAAGACTTAGCACGCGTGATGCTCACCGTAGGGAGCCCACTTGACGAAGCTGCACAAACAATCCAACAGCTAGCGTGTTTCAAGCATCCTTGAGGCAACCTGACTCGAATATCAGGACCATATCAGCAACGATCTTTCGTACAGCCGAGAGGCAGGCAAACACGAGATTCGAGATTAAGACCCAACTAACACTGGGTGATTCTGAGACGCCGTCGACTTGCCGGCATCGACTCTTTCGAGGCGATGTTTTGGGTTCTGGGTTTCCAATTTCGCAACGTGCTGAGGGAGAGGGAGTGGAAATACCCTTGGATATGATGTTTGGTCTTGACAGCTTCGAAAGGCAATTATGGTTCGGCGATAATGGCCCTTTCCATGTGGGAGATCACTTGGTGCTATACACGTCGAAATATGTTCAGGACGGAGTACAATGGTATTCAGTAGGTAAAGAGGAGAAAACTCCCTCTCGCCAAACCACTGGATCTTCCCGGCTAGCAAGGATTATATCCGCCTAGAACATTTCTTGGAGTTCATCCGAAGGGAAAAGTTGGGTGGAGTCGCCTCTGGCATTGTTGTTGGGTCAATTCCCCCTCATCCCGCCTCGGGAGAAAAATGCTCAGCGGATACTACCGTTGACTTTCTCCTATGCGGCGAGATTTTCAAAGTGTGGCTGAAAACTCTCTGGTATTGCTTTACCTGTCACGTTTTGAGACTCATTGTTAACTAAGCTGGTCATAAAATCATTGTTCTTCTTGTTCCCTGAGTGCTGCAGACTCCGTCTGCAGCTCTCTATTTAATATCAAAAACTTCCTTTCGTCCGAGCCTGTTTTCGGCTAAGTTGAGTCATGATAACCGACATTATGACAGATGGAAATTACACCAAGTTTGCTTGTTCTATCAACAGAGGCAGTTTTATCCGACACCTGTGCTCATTTTCGTACATACCAACCCTGTTTACCTCAGGAAGAATTGGAAAGGTAAACATTTTCCACAAATTTGTCCTGTGATTCGGAATGACGAACGTAATCCCTCTGGCGTTAGGCCAATGGGTTGTCCTAGATTTTGGAATAGGAATGAGAACTTGCGCGGTGAAGGCTGGGCTGATACTAGTGGGGCTAATTGGGGCAAAACTGACGTGAGTGCCCCCGTACCGTGAACTCGCGACATATGAAGTCAGCATCTGTAATTGTGATTGCCTTGATCCGTGCTACTCTGCGTTATGCTCTATGAAGTCGTTAAAGCGCTGCTCAATGCAGTTCATTCATTTATACCTGCCCATATGAAGGCCGTAAGAGCTTGGGATAAACCAAAAAGTTGGCTTTGGAGATATTATACCGCCAACATGGTTAGTCGGGAGATCTTCGTGCAGACCAGATATGTCTGGTGCAAGCCACTCTTGATTAGTATCTTCTCCGAATCGGCTGTGAACGCCTTAGCAGAGGACTTACATATCGAAGTATGCATGATGAGCCAGCACGCAGATCTCCTTCTTGACTCTTGTGCAAAGATCTTGGACCTTACTCTGGCTCATGCCCAATCCTTCGATCATGGGCACAAAACTCATGGCGTCGACCCCACGAGAGAAGGCAATGTTGAACCAATTTGCAACGTCTTGTTCATGGGGGTCGGACATCCACGGATTTACATAACATCGAATGATCTCTTCCCTAAAGTTGGTAAATCCGGCACCCTCGATTGTCCGATGAACGGCAGTCGAGTCGACTCTGGCACTTCTGTTAAAGCGGTCTAATGCCCCCAAAAACCGATCTGACCACTCCTTAAGGGCAGACGCTTGCGGCATAGTATATTTATCCCATCTCGGCACCCAGTCGATTTCAACATGCTCGACATATCCAGATCCGGGGGTTAGGTGACTGCGAGGTCGTTAGTTCTGGCCGGCGGCGATTTGGGGATCAGGATGGGAACTTGTTGGTTTTATTTGCCTACTGGAATATCCTTCGGTAAATTTCTGGCCACATTTCGTGATGGATGCTCCCAAAAAGCAATCGAATATGAACCAAGTCGCAACCTGTAATCAAAGAATTCCAGGACAGATCTTCAATGTCAAACTGGACTGTCGTCATTCCAGGGGGGATTCTTCTCCAGATTAGCCGTTAGACTGCCATAGCGCAAATGATGGAATACATACAACCTTGACTGGAATTTATGAAGGTCTACAGCCATGACCACAGGCTGGTGGCCGGTCCTTCCATACAATCTATACCATCAGTAAGCAGAAAGTTCGGACGCAGGAAGTAAACGTACCTGTCCGCAACCACAATGGACCAGATTCCGGTCCCAGTGCCCAGATCCATGACTCGAAGCGACCGATTTTGATCCAGATCAGGTAAATAAAGTGCATTTTTTC